TGAACGATTAATTTGTCAAAAAAAAAAAAAAAAAAGAAACAATTTTTCTTAAAAATGGACTACACAAGTGAATTGCAGGATAATTAATTATACATGAACAGGAATCAACAAAATCAATGATTGAAACAAATGAAACTTTTCATTGTGCATATAAAGATTTTTAATTTATATTAAATAATATTTCGACTAAATACGATACACGGATGCAATAATTATAGTCTAATTCACACTTGAAAGATTAATTACAAGCACCACTATGTGACGGTATACTCAGACTATAGAGAACGAGTATGACCGTCGATACCTTAGTCACCGCCACTGACACCGTATATATGTATTCCGTGGCGTTAAGTCCAGATTCCGTCGGGGTTTGTCCTGTACGATTTTAAACGCGGCAATCTTACCTAGCAACGTGGGTAACTCGGTGTACCGATACCAATACTCGCATCCGTACCCCTTCCTCTTGCACGCATGCACGAGTTCCGACCGAGTGATGAAGTGGGGTGCACAGGTATATACTTTCACTAGTGCCCGTGTTCCGTATCGCGCTCTATTCGACCTTACACGTTGACAAAGATTGTGTCGCTAGAACGGGATCAATGAAATTGCGTAAAGAAGGTCGACTAGATAGTTAAAGGTTCTGCTTTTATTTTTTTATTATCGGTTAGAATTGATTCAATCTCTTTTTATTAATGAAGCTAAGAACAGTTTTGAATAGGAAATGTTTTTTTATATATAAATATGAAAAATAATTAAACAAAAACAATTATCAATTATTTGAAAGAAATCATAAGGAAATATTTATTTGATGACAATATTAATTTCTTTTATATTATATTTGATTATAGTATTTGATTTATTATTATCTTTGAATAAATATGAATGTTTTCTAATAATTTTTTTAATAAACAATAATATAATTGTTATATTATAACAATATGATTTTTATATTTTGAATATTGAAAACAATTTTTTGAAGTCATGCGCATCTGTACAAAATATGTAACAACTCCATCTGTGTGTATAATCGAGAATTTAATATTAATTGATAATATTTTCATAATATTTTTATTTACATATTCATGAAAAATATTTTTCACTAGAATTCTAATTGTTTAATTATTAAAAATAATAACAAATTTAACTAAATTTATTATTTATATTTATATATTTACATATTTGAAAATTCAGAGTTACAATATAAATTTATAAATATTAGGCATAATGAATATTAAATTTGAATAAAAAATAATAAATTTTGATAAGATTAATACAAATCAGTAACTAAATACATAATTAAAAAAATTAATCTTATCAAAAATAGTTCCAAATATGACCACAAGATGCCAGACAAGTAATCTGGATAAATTTCATTTTTGTCTTGTTAACGTAAATTAGTATATATATAAAATATTGAAGAAAGATGCGAAAGAGTTAAACATATTTCGAACACCTTTCAAAAGAATTAATTGTTATATATATGTTTTGCTATGTGAGTTTGTTGTGTCGTTAAATTTCATGAGAAGAACCCAAATCTCTCAATACTAAAAACTATACGCTCCTGTTACGGCATAGCGTGATCATAGCCATGGCGACTACTGCTTCATCGCGGGTAGATGAACTCGTACAAACTGTCACTCTGCATAATCCTCGGAAATTATTATTCACGGGATATGTTCTGCCCTCTGTGATATTACACACTGTGTGGATTTATAGTTGGATTTTTGTCTACGGAATTGATGAATATTATGATGCGGGTTTAGTGGGCATTGCAGCTATCGGCGTATTACAAATTTTCATATGTTTGTGTTGCCAGTGGTCAGTGCATATACACACTTTTTTTAATTGTAGCTCGGTGAGTTGACGATTGTTTATCATAAGAAAATATATTAATTTAATAATTCGCACGTGTATTGTTCAATATGTTTCGTTAACGTGGCAGCCATTCGAACCGGCCTTCTATTCCGATAAGTCACATGGTTGCTTGACGGGAAATTTTAAATTATAAAAATATAAATTATTTTAGGAAAAAAATCCATATAACGCGAAAATTGCAAAAGTAGTTCCTACTCCTAATAATGGAAGTTCAGAACTTGTCAAACTACATCATTCTGAACAACAAGAACCATGGTTTATATTTCAAAAAACCAAGTATTACTGGAACTCGGATAAAAAAATTTTTCAAGGTCTTCAATTTCCAATTAATCATTCTGTTAAACATTATTGTGAATGGAGAGGATATTTAGATGAAAAAGATATTGCAGCAGCAGAGGAAAAATATGGAAAAAATAAGTAAATATATTTCTTTAAATTATTAAAAACTATATAATTCAATTTTATTTTTTATTATTTTCATATAGGTTAGATATGGTTGTACCAGAATTTAGAGAACTATTCAAAGAAAGAGCAATTGCACCATTTTTTGTTTTTCAACTATTTTGCGTAGCATTATGGTGTTTTGATAAATACTGGTATTATAGTATATTTACATTAGTTATGCTCATTATGTTTGAATGTACACTTGTGCAACAACAACTTCGAAATATGGCTGAAATTAGAAAAATGGGAAATAAACCATACACAATGATGGTATTAATGAATATTGTGCAAATAAATGCATATATATATTATATATAAACTATATATAATATCATTTTTATCAAAGGTTTACAGGAACAGACGATGGCATTCCATGTTTACTGATCAATTAATTCCTGGTGATATTGTATCTATTACACGATCTCAAAATGATAATTTAGTGCCATGTGATATGTTACTTTTAAGAGGACCTTGTGTTGTTGATGAGAGTATGCTAACAGGTGAATTAATTATGAATTAGATTTAGATAGATTAGATATTAATTTGTAATTTTGATTTTTTATATGTTTTGATTACTAATAATTACTAATTTTATTATTAATGATTAATTTATTAATTTTATCATTATTGATAGGTGAATCAGTTCCTCAAATGAAGGAACCCATAGAAGAAATTGATGGAAATAGACAGTTGGATATAGAAGGTGATGATAAACTTCATGTACTTTTTGGGGGTACAAAGGTTGTACAACATACTCCACCAAGTAAAAGTGTATCTGGCCTTAAAGGTATTTTTTTATTTTAAATTTAAATATAATTTAAATATAATAATTTCACACAATACATGTTATATATTTTTTATATGGAAACTTTCAGCTACTGATAATGGCTGTGTAGCCTATGTTTTACGTACTGGATTTTCAACATCACAGGGAAAACTTTTGAGAACAATATTATTTGGAGTTAAACGTGTTACTGCTAATAATTTGGAAACATTTGGTTTTATTTTATTCTTGCTAATTTTTGCAATTGCTGCAGCATCATATGTGTGGATTAAAGGTATATAATATCTAAATAAATAAAACATATTAATCAATAAGTGAATGTAAATTCCAAAAATATTTTTAAATTATTAATAATTCATTGATACACAGGAAGTGAAGATCCTACTAGAAATAGATATAAATTGTTCTTGGAATGTACTCTTATTCTAACATCAGTTGTACCTCCAGAATTGCCTATTGAATTATCATTAGCTGTTAATACTTCATTATTGGCCTTATCAAAATTAGGTATTTAGAACATATGTGGAAATAATATTCAATTACATATATATTTTTTTAAATAAAAAATTATAATAAATAATTTTATTGTATAGGTGTATTTTGCACTGAACCTTTCAGAATTCCATTTGCTGGAAAAATTGAAATATGTTGTTTTGATAAAACTGGTACTTTAACTAGTGATAATTTGGTCGTCGAAGGTATAGCAGGGATTGAGTAAGAATAATCAAATAACTTTTAAATTTGATTTAATATAAGAATTTATATTAAAAAATCATTTATTATTTTAGAGGAAAACCAGATGTTATGCAACTTTCTGATGCACCTATAGAAAGTATTCAAGTACTTGCAACATGCCATTCTCTTGTACAATTAGATGATGGAATTGTTGGAGATCCTCTTGAGAAAGCTACATTAAAAGCTATTAAATGGAATCTTACAAAAAGTATTTTATTATATATTTTTATTATATTATATAAAATTTTTTTTACAAACAAAATTGTAATAATTTTAATTTATTTTAATTAATTAATTTAATTAATTTATTTATTTTAGCTGATTCTATGATACCTAGAAAAGGACAATCACCTGTCTTAAAAATCGTACAAAGACATCACTTTTCTTCTGCTTTAAAACGTATGTCAGTTGTAGCTGGATATACAACACCTGGATCTTCAGAAATCAATTACATGACCACTGTGAAAGGTGCTCCTGAAATTATTAAGAATATGGTCTGTAAAATAATAAATTGTTTATTTTATTGTCATAATATATTTTAAATATTTTATTTATTTATTTATTTTTTTCAGTTATCATCTATACCAGATAATTATGATTCAACATATTTATCGCTTTCGCGTCGTGGAGCAAGAGTTTTAGCTTTAGGATATCGAAAACTTCCTGGTCCTTTATCATCACAAGATTTAAGAGAACTTACACGAGAAGAATTAGAAAAAAATCTCATTTTTGCTGGATTTGTAATTATAAGTTGTCCGCTTAAACCTGATTCTAAAGCTGTTATTAAAGAGATTGTGAATGCTTCACATTCGGTAAATTATATATATATATATAACTTAAATGTATATTTAAATTTTTTTATTTTTTTATAATTTTAGTGTTGTTATGAGTTGTTATTTTTATAGGTTGTTATGATTACTGGTGATAATCCTTTAACAGCATGTCATGTCAGTCGTGAATTACATTTTACAAAAAAATCAATTACGCTTATATTGACTTCAAATAATGGAGAATGGATATGGGAAAGTGTGGATAGAAAAATAAATTTACCTTTGGAAATAAAAAATGTTTCTCGGAATAATGAAATATGGCGAGAATATGCACTTTGTGTAACAGGAGAAGTAAGTATAAAAAAAATATTTTAAATATATATTAATATGTGCATTTTTTAATATATCATTTTTAGGGTTTAACATATTTAAAAGATAATGAACGAGAGTTACTTCGTAAATTATTACCACATATTGTAATTTTTGCAAGATGTGAACCAAAACAAAAAGAATTTATAATTGTTTCATTGCAAAATTTAGGATACACAACTTTAATGTGTGGAGATGGTACTAATGATGTTGGTGCTTTAAAACATGCTCAAGTGGGTTAGTATATAAATATATTAAATATATATATATATAGTTTTATATAGTTTTATATATATATATAAAACTATATTATTAACTTATTTTATTTAGGTGTTGCAATTTTATCAAGTTTACCAGAAAAAGTATCTGCTGAAAAGCAAGATAATATGAAAAATGAACATACTATTTCAAATTCAACAATAGCAAATGGGCCAAGAAATAATCCAAGAGTTTCTGCTAATACTAGAGCAAGAATACAAAAAATATTGAAAGAACTTGAAGAACAATCTGTTATAGTTAAATTAGGAGATGCATCAATTGCTGCACCTTTCACTAGCAAAATGTCGTCGATTCAATGTAGTAAGTCTTATTGTATACAATATTCTAATAATAATATCAATATAAATTTATATAATATTATAATTATTATTAATATTTGTTTCATTATAGTATGCCATGTTATTAAGCAAGGACGATGCACTTTAGTTACCACTTTGCAGATGTTCAAAATTTTAGCACTTAATGCATTAGGACTTGCATATAGCCAATCTGTTCTTTATTTAGATGGAATAAAATTTAGTGATGCACAAGCAACATTACAGGGTATTTTACTAGCCACTTGTTTCTTATTCATATCAAGATCAAAACCATTGAAAACATTGTCTAAACAAAGACCTCTTCCAAATATCTTTAATTTATATACGATTGCGACTGTACTTCTTCAATTTGCTGTACATTTTTTTTCTCTTGTATATTTAGTTAAAGAAGCTACTTTATTATCTCCAAAGTAAGTAAAATAATAAAAAATATATTTAAAAATTATATAAATATATATTAAATATCTAAAGAATTAATAATATTAAATTATAAATATTAATTTTTTTTTTTTATTTAACAAGGAGTGATAAATTAGCAGCTATATTAGCTCCAAATAATCTATATAATGAAAGTATGGCCTTGAATACAAATTTTAATGATGAAGACGAACCATTTGAACCAAATTTATTAAACAGTACAGTTTATATTATTGCAATGACAATTCAAATTTCTACTTTTGCAATTAATTATCGGGTAAAATACTATGCTAAATGAAATATCATTTATAACTTTTTATAACTTTATTTCATTCTAATTTAACAATTCTATTATATAGGGTCATCCATATATGGAAAGTTTATTACAAAATAAATTTTTATTATATAGTCTTATAGGCAATGCTGCCGTTATATTGGGATTAACATGTGGATTTTTACCTGAATTAGCAACACAATTTGAAATTGTAGATTTTCCAAGTGATGTAAGTAAATAAAGAAAATTTAGTTTAGTTTTTAGTTAGAGTTCATATTTATATTATTATCTTATATACTAATTTTTATTTTATATTTGTAGTTCCGCAGTCTTTTAATTCAAGTATTAATAGCAGACTTTATTCTTGCATATATAGTTGATAGAATCTGCTTATGGCTTTTTGGAGAAGGGAGACATCAAAAACTGTGATTAGTACACAATTTCTATATTCCACTTTTAACTCGAAAAGTGCGAAAAATTAAATATGCAAATTTGTTTTCTTATTTCACAAAGAACAAATTATCTTTGTTTATTATTATATTTATGAATTATATTACGATTCCTATATGGAATATAATGCTTTTAAAAGACTGACCAATATATAATTGAGAAGTCATTATTAAAAATTCATATTGTTGATGGTTTTATATTAATGAAATCTTTGTTACTCATTGACAAATTTAATGATAATTCTTTGTGAAATAAGAAGATTAAAAAAAATTGAGATATATATTATATATATATATATATATAAATACACACATATGTATATGAGTATGTGGTATGTATGTTTTAATGAGTGTAAGTATTACCATAAAAAGTGAAATAGTAAAAAGAGCATGCAATGTGAGTGTGTACAAATGATAAGTAAATAATGCATAATATCATTATTATTATATATACCATGTTTGGAAACAATAAGTGTACCTTGAGAACCTGATTTATGAGAATTTATAAAAACAAACTTCTCTATTGTATTAAAACATAAAAAAACTGACTTTTAATATTATATAAGATGTTAATATATTAATGAATATATTATTGAAGACTTGATTCTAGAGAGAAAAACAAAAGAAAAATTAATATATAAAAATATTGATTTTATTTATTAAGTTATAAGCAATTAAAATTCACATAATAAAGCGTAATGAAAATAGAATTCGTTTCGTCAAACTGTTATTACTTATAATTTAATAAATAAGCCTCAACCAATATTTTTATATATCAATTTTTTTTTTATTTTAGATTTTAGAATCTATTCTCAAAAAGTTTCATACGAATATATTAATATCCTGTATATATAGATAAAAAGAAAATTATTAGTAGATGTTTGAAATTTATGGTAAAATCTCACATATAGATTATAATTGTTTATTATACTAATAATTATTTTAATAGAAATTATTAAGTTATAATTTTTATATTTTGTATAATTAACATGTTTTTTTTAAATAATTCTTATGACTAACATCATAAAATATGCATATAATATATAAATATTTAAACTAATTCAAATAGTAAATGTAACTTAAATTATACTTAAATTTTTGAGTTTATATTTTTTATTTATATTATTTTCATATATATTGGAATCAAATTTAGATGAACTAATGTAAAGTAGATAATTTTAATTACAACATTCCAATTTTATTTCCATCCTATTTTTAACAGTATAAACAATATAAATGGTTAAAAATATGTGACTTTGTTTATTAAAAATGTTTGTGTTTCTGTTTGGTAACAAATAATGTGTGCACACAGAACTATTAGATGTGATCAATGAATGCATATACTTTGTTCAATATTGCCATTTTTACAACAATTAATATATAAAAAAATAAGTCTTATGTTAAAAAAATTATTCAAAATTAAATGGTATTGTATTTGCTGTACTATGATGCAAATTTTTACAGCATCATATTTTTAGATTGAAAATCCTAAATAAAAGCTGATTATATATTATTACCTTTGTAATTATTTATAATGATTATTTATAATGATATATGATATGAAAATACTTTGTTATAAACATTAATTGTTTTTTTTTTAATTTTAATTTCCTCAAATTATTTTAATTAAAATTTTTATATCTTATATATCCTTATCGTCATAATCATAAATGAAAAAGAAGCAATAGAATACAAGTAATTTAAAAAGATATATATATATTTAGTAATAGGAAATAATTGTCAGTATAAACTGATAAGATTAAGATTAATTATATAGGACTAATTGTCAAATTTTATTTGATTTGAAATTATAGAAGCAACTTAACAAATTGTACATTTACCTTATATTGTTTCATTAATGTTGAAATTACATTGTTGAAATTACAGGAAGAATATTTATATAATCATTTTGATTCAATAATAATATATTAACATTTCACAATATTGTCTTTGACAGTATGATTTTATTTTCTTGATCTTTTTTTCCTATCTAAGCTCTTTATAATTTAATATCACGCAATTAATTTAATTTATTATTAAACAATTAATAAAAAAATCAATTAAATTTGTGATTTAAATTGTAAACTGCTAGAATAAAAAGTTAAATGAATTTTAGATTTCAATCGAAGAAACCGGTTGTTGCACATCGAACATCGAACTTTACGACAGTTGACTGTTGATCACGGAACATGGTTGATCGTTACGCTATATCTTTTGTTTAACTATATTTATTGACTGTGTTATTTTGCTGCGTGTTTTTTTTTTTTTCTAATATTTAAATTGTGTAAATCTTTTGCATTATATCTGTTAACAAGAATATTTATGAATATTTCGAGTCACGTAACCGCACTTTTTCATTGTGATTTTCGCGGTTGTGCTTGACATCCTGCGTCATTCTTTGCGTTTGATTGTTTGATCGATAGCTTTGAAATTTTATTTTGGTATGTGAATTAGTATATAGAAGTATATATAAATATTGAACAATTCAATTATTTTTTCTGTTTTCATTAAATTGTTATGTGATCATTTAAATATTAATTTAGAATATTCATGAAAGAAATAAATAATTCTACATTAATTATTTTGTACAAATATTTTCTATATTATATAAATAATTAAAATTGTTTATATAACATGACAATTTATTTAATTAAAATTATTTATATTATGTATACATATTTAAATTAATGGTTTGTGCTCATTTAAAATTTTCTATATTGAATTATATTTATTGATTCATTTTAATATTTATTTTCATAATTCGTTCCAAATTTAAATTCGTTTGTTGCAAGTTAAATATTATTTTGTGCATATTTTATAAAATGAGAACAGAAACAAGAAAAATGAGACCAATTACTTTCTAAATAAAACTTGCTTTGTAGAAGTAAATTCTTGGAAAGTATTACTTGAATAACAAATAAAAAAAATCAGAACGTGAAAAAAAATTACTAATCGGAATTTAACGTTTAAAGGAAATTATTCATTATTTTTTACATTTTTACCGATCATCGATTAAATTGAAATAAAACTATAATTAAATATAAATAAATTGTGCTTATAATATTTTCATTATTGTATGCAGAAGATAAAAATTTAAATAATATATACGAATACGAATGAGCCTATGGTTGCTAAAAATAAGGAAAACTATTTATAAAATTGAGTAGATAGTAAATACTTATCCATAATCGATCTCTATTACATTGTTTGCTGATTATTTTCAGTCGGTAACAATATTAATTCTATTGCATGTATATATATTCATATTATGTTGCATGTATAAAACCTAATTATCAGAAGACAATTATCGAACGTTATTATATATGTACTTACATATATACTTATCAAGAAATCATATGTATGTATGTATGTAGCATGATATTAAATATTTTTTTCACTAACACAGATTTTTACTAAAAATTGGCAAATTTTTATTATAAATTTTAAATGCATAACATATAAGAATTTTTTTCAATATGCATAATTGTATATGATCGAGAATTATAGAAAAAGATTGAGAAATAAATAAATTTCCGTTTTCAAAAAAAAGAAATAAAAACTTACGATATTAATGTATTATATTCACATGAATTGTTATATATATGATTATTTTTCACATTTTTGAAATAATTTTTCATTAAGTCTCACTTTATTCTACAAGTCTTCTAATACATGTCTATTCATATCTTGTAATGTGAAACATAGTTCACTACCTTGAATCAAAATTGATTTCTGTATGCTTCTGACATCTACAATAGAACGAATGATACTAATGCAAATGGCGCTAAGTTTAAATATCTAGTATTATTAGATTAGATTGATAAATCCGATTGCATTTTTTTGTAAGAAATATATACTATAGTAAATATTGACAATTAATTCAAAATTTATTTAACTAATTTTATATATGTAATTTTGTTTTTGATTTGTCTATATCATGATTTTTCTATGATATTTTGATTAAATTAAATATTTTTTTATTATAAACTATTTATATTAAAAACTTCAAATATTTTAGATATGTTTATTTTATTAATGTTCTTAATCTTTATTGATAAAATTTTGCAATGTATGAAACAAATAAAAATCACATAGAGCAAAATCTATATAATAAATATAACGGCTAGAATAAAATTTCAAATAATTTGTAATAATTTAATGCATTGTTAAAACTTATATAACGCAATTGTGCATTGCTATAATAAAAAACAGTTCCTTTTTCTAGATATGAGTAATGCTTTTAATTCAGTTAAACACGGTATTTTTTAGTTAAGAAATAACAGAAATAACAAAGCATTCCTTTATAATCTCATTAAATAGGAAACAAAATCTCTTTATCAATGAGTCAATGAAAACGAATTTATTATACAACTTAATGATAATTAAAAACTTCTTTTAATAAATATGATGTATAATTATATATGTATGATTATGTATGATTATGATAATTAAATAAAAAATTTATTAATATGATTATTATGAAAAATTTTTTGCATTTTGATTTTTGAAAAAAATAAATAAATAAAAGAAATAGATGAATAAAAATTTTTCAATACATAATATATATAAATACATTGACATATACATTAATTTTAATTTATTTATTCATTAAATGAAAAAATTGAAATGCGAATAGTTTATTTCGATATCATATATTAAATACAAGGTCAGGATTATCACGAACATTGATTTTATTCAGTTTTATAAAAAAATGGATAGAATAACATATCAATATTGAATGTTCAATATACATCGTAGAAATTATCGATGTTACTGATATTATACATTAAATAATTTATAGATAAAATATATTATAATGCAGACATCAATTTAAACGATAGATTTAAGTCAGGAGTTCAAACAAGGTTGAAACATTATCATTTTGTTGCATGAGCTATTGACCTAAATCTATTTCTTGAGTTGATATATATTTTAACACATCTATCATTTCAAATCATTTGTGTGATTCCAATCTTATATAGATTGAAGGATATTTCTATAAATGGCCTACATACAATCTCTGACGTTCTTGGATAAAAAGTATGTAGTATGTTTACAATACTGTATATTTAACGATATAACTATGTGTATATATAACTATGTATATATAACTATGTGTTTGCAAGATTGTTGTCACATGATTTGTGGAATTTGTTTTTTAATTTAGAAGAAAAAAAAAAAGTATTAAACGATTATCGAGTAATAGATATTAGTAAAATCTTATTTAGAAAATTTTTTTAGAAAATTAAATATAAATAGCAGTTCTGAATTTAGAAATTTTGTAAGGATGTCTAAAAATGATTTCGAGATTACAAATATTACAAAAAGTTGAAAAATAAAAAGAAAAGATATTAACTTTCGTGCAGCAATTTTTGTTCTTATAAAATTAATGTTAAAATGCTAAGATATATATCTAGTGTTTTAGCATAAAATATTTGTTTAACGTTGCTTAAATTTTTTATTTGCACATTTTTTTTTCTTCATTATTTGTCTGCAGATATCCTCTCTTCTTTTTCATTCCAATGAAAGACAAAATATACGCATGAATTTATATTTTGTCTTTCCTTATCCACGGACAATGTACGCGGATTGTTTACGGATATATATCTGCAAACAATTGTCTCTCAGTCTGGATGGAACTTAACGAGTTAACAAGCTCCATTGAAACACTAACAGCTGCAAGTCGCATTAAGGTCACGTGTCAATTACCAATTAGGAACATACATGCACGATAGATGTGTGCATTAAGACAAGAATTCCGTAAATACATTATGAACTAACTGTATATGTCTTATATTCCATTAACACTATACATGTTTTAGCTATAAAGACCATTAGCATAATACATTCATTTGTAATTTGTAATTTACTTAATACAAACTTTACAAAAATATATGGTGAATTAATCATAAATTACATTCAAACTTATTTTAAATAGCAGTTTTATTTTTTTAATTTGCTTTTTTAATTTGCTATTCAACTCCTTTATACCTAAAGCCCGATAAAAAGAAGACAATAATCTTCGCTTCTTCATCTTTTTATATTTCTTCCAAATCTTTACAAAAGTTTGTAGATTTATTTATTAATGCATGTTTTATTATTATTAAATTTGGGGAGAAAATAAATCTTTAAAAATCCATTATTCATATCATTCCAAGAGGCATTAAGTTTTTGTACGTGTTATTTGATTTCCATTACGGCTATTATTGGCATTATTAAGCAAATCTAGCTTTATAAATCAGGTTTTCGCTTGGCTTCAGTTTCCCAGAGCCAGAATGCTAGAAACAGAGGAAAGAGGATACTTTCATTGGGCAGATTGGCTGGTGTTCGCGTTGATGCTCGCCGTATCTGCTGCCGCAGGATTATGGCATTACAAGAGAGCACAGAAGTCGAGCACGGAAGATTATCTCTTAGGAGGAAAGAGCATGACCCTTTTACCCGTCTCCGCTTCTCTCGTTGCCAGGTATTCCATCCTTCGAATCTAATTGCCACTGTATTAAGCTGTCACAAGTATCATTGATGTTTGCCTTATGAAATAAAATGTAAAATACTATAAGAGATGTATAGTTAAAGAATAATTCTTTTTCTCTTTAGTTTCATATCTGGTGTGACGATTCTTGGAATACCTGCAGAGATATATAATTTTGGAACTCAATACTGGATCACCATTATTTCCATATTTTTTTCTGGTCTCGTCGTGGCTCTTATTTACGCCCCAGTTTTCGTTGCATTGGGATTAAATTCCGTTTACGAGGTATATTTATAACGTTTAATAAATGTG